CAGTTTTGTTACCACTCAGCAAAACGAAGCATCTCTTGAAAGCACTAGTGACAGTCAGGAAGTTGGGCTGGGTGGTTTGTTTTGCATTTTAAGAAGCCTGCAGGGACACCAACAACCTGCAATGATCATTTTCAGAAAGGAGTTCAGAGAAGCTCATGATTTTCAGCAAGCATTTACCCCTCCTTTGTCCTTGATTAAAAATTTGCCAAGAGGCTGCTTACAAGATGCACCAAAACAGGAAGTGACCACTACCCTAAAGTGAAAAGGAGGTTTGCTGCAATATGTTCCTGTACATCACTCAGAGAACCCCACACCAGTGCCTGAGGTTGGTTTTAAGAGCAAAAACATGACTTTCAAGCTGACAGCCCCCATGCACAAAGCACAACTGTGGTGACAAGAGAGCAGCCTGGGGCACAGGAGCTGCCTGACCTCTGCTACAGCTCTCAATGGCAGATTTTTATTGTTCACCACTTTCCCAAAGCACAAGCATGGAGAGAAAACCAACTAAGACACTCAAAATGCAAACGCAGCTAGGGAGCCCCACCAGCACAGCAGGGAAAAGACAACCTGCCGGAGGGGACCGTGCCTCAGCATTGCCAGGCTTGGGGGAAGGAGGACCAGAACATGGGCCCTTCCCTTCCCAGGGGCAACAGCGAGAGATGCCAGAGGCCTGGATCACCAAGACACAGGCTCACCTGAGAGAAAGCAGCTCCTAACACGCTGCAGGCCAGTCCTCTGCTCTGCATGGTTGAACTAAAAACCTTCATCCTGCTTTCCAGGCTAGCCAAGGAAGACCCAGAACTACAGCTCTGAAGCCAGTGAGAGCAGGTCTCCAGGGACCAGCCTGCAGCTGGAAAATAATATTCCCAAGGCCTGCAACGAGCACTGCTTGTTGGAGACACTGCTCAACCTCATCCTCTGCCATGCACAAAGTATGGAGCCCTCCCAAACAACCCCACTCCAGAAAACCCAGATATGCCACACTGGACATGGGACCCATGGTCTGCTTATGCCCTCCAGGAAACAGCTCCTGCCCTGAAACACTGAGGATTTGCAAGTGCAAGGGTGAAGGATAAGCACCATGGTGCAGCTCTGCTGCCCAGAGATTCAGCAGGCTCTCAGTCAGCAGCCAGCCAAGGCTGGCTTCTCCCAACACCCTTGTGAGCCGACAGCACAGATCCACACCACTCCCCTCTGCAACTAACCTGTCTCAGGGAGCCATGCAACATCCTTATGGGGCTCCATGACCGCAGGGCTCAAGGCTTGGCTCTCCCAAGTTCCTGCATCAATGTCAGAGGGCTCTGGGAGAGCTCCCCAGCACCAGCAGCTTCCTTGGATGTTTTAGCAGCCTCTGGACACATCAGACTGGCACCCTACAGGCTGTGCCTGCAAGTTGGGTACACAACCCCTTGGCCAACTAATTACCCACACACAGCAGGTGATAAACCATGTTTCTCCAGACTGGTCAAAGCAGGGAAAATGTTGTGCCCCAGCTCCTCAATAAAGAGGAGAAAACCCCAAAAGCATCCAGAAGCCAGGCTTTTCTGCCGAAAACCAGCGCCGTGCCGCCTGCCACCAGCACCTCCCGAGCCGTGCCCCGCGGCCAGCCTCACGTGACAGTGGAGTGGATGCACACAGGAGGAGTGGCTGTAGTGACAGCGTTACAGCTTGTGTCCAACACACAGCTGAGCCCAGCAAATCCCAGCGCTCTGCAGCTCTCCTTTACAAACTCCACACACTGCGCAGGTACGTGAGCGTCAGTGAGAGCTCAGTGCCCACAGCCCCAGGAAAATGACACCCAGAGGGACACAGCCCAGTGAGTACAGGGCTCCTGAACTCTCTGCTGGCAACTAGCACAAGGACTGGCCCACAACAAGCCACCAAGCCCCAGGGACCAAGGACGGCTGTTCTTACACCAGCCCCAGTTGCCCAGGGCCAGCCCCTCTGCTACTTCAGCACACGTACTCCCAGCAGGAAGCAGAGACACCCAGCAGGATAAGCAGGACTTCATCCCATCTAACTCTGCTCTGAGTGACTTTACATCATTCCCCACTGTACCTTGGGTGGCAAAACTTGGGCAGTTCTGCAGACAACCTGGGAGAAAAGTGCTGCGAGCTGAAACCCAGCCCTTACCTGCCAGCTGTTATTTCATTCCTCTAACAGGTCCATAAACCAAGGATAATTAAATCTCTTCTAAATTCTCTTCCATTTAAAATAAAAATCTATAGTCCCTATTTCATTAGTTGACTCTAGGTTTTACAGCTTGATCAATTCCCCTCACAGGGCCCTGGTCCTGGACAGGCAGATGCAAACATGCAGCTTCCATGGTGTGGATCAATGGGATTTGCAAAGTCTCCTACCCCGTTCCTTGTTCCTCACTCACCAAAGGGAGCCACACAGCCCAGCAGGTAGGGACAGTGTGTTTCACTGCTCAGGGGAACATCACTGCTATGTGTACCTTCAGAGGTCAGAGTGAGCACCTGGCAAGAACAGAGGCAGCAGCGACACTCCGTCTCCAGTGAAGGGCCCCGAGAACACAGCAATGACCCTGAAGGCGAAGCAGCCCAGCAAGCCAGCAGGGTGACATCTCCCTGTTTGCTCCACAGTGAAGAGGGCCAAGGCTCAGCTCCCACAGCTGACAGCTGGAGTCAGAGCCCACCACAAGCACCAGCTGAAACCAAGAGCAGCCGCCACCTCTCTGACCTCCCTGCACACAAAGCGGAAGAGACTCGTCACTGAGACCCAGGCTCATAGGCTCAGTGTTTCCTGCCCTTCCCAGCCCTCTGCTGCTGCCCTGCCACACAACACCTTCCCCCTGCCAGCCTGCCAGCCAGATGGCTCTCGCCACCCCTGCAAGCCTCTTCCTCCACAGCAGCAGGAGCTTCCAGTGCCTGGCAGCAGACAGAGGGACCACGGGAGCAGCCAGAGCTGCACCGAGAGCATCTGGGCAGAACCCACGGAGTGGACATCAGAGTGCTGGGCAGCCCTTTGCCAGCACCCAGCTGCCCCTCAGCACCTATCACATCATTTCTCTCTGTTCCAGGGGCATATCCCTTCTCCCTCCCACCTTTGCACAGCCAGAGCACAGCAAGTTGCCACAGTCTGAGTCCCATCAGGACCAGGACACACCATGGTGGCAGCCACAGAGGGAAGGTCTGGCAGCCCCAGCTCCAGTGAGCTCTGTCCTGGCCACGCAATGCCAGCAGTGGACAGACCAGATCATCAGGGCCCAAATCCTGATCTCTACTTGAACGAGCTGGAACTTGCCAGGGGATATCAGGACAGATTTTTGTCCACCACTTGGAGAGCGCCTAGCTCCAAGCAAGGCTAGGGGAACAAAGCCTTGCCATCCCACTGAGACCCCTTGCATGGCTGCGTGCAGGGAGGTGGCACTGAAGCCTCCAAAACACACACAGGTACCTCCTGCCTCACCTCCCATGTCAACACCTGCCCTGTCTCCACTGGCACCGTGTCCCAGTGCGGGGGGGGAATGGAGGGGCCACATTTCACCTGCTAAACGTAACCCACTGCTCGAGGGGTGTGACACCACCCGGCCAGCCCCAGAGCAGACACCCAAAGGTGACGAACAAAGGCACCCAGCAGGCACTCCGCATTAGCAGTATTTTTAGACACACTATGGAGCCGGCCTTATTATTTTCATTGCAACGTGCATAATTACCCACCATGCACCGCAGTGACATCAGACGCAGCCGGCTCTCCTCCGACAGCTGCTCCTCCTCCCGGGGCTCCTGCTGGCCCCGGGACCCACCTGCCCCGCCGGGCTCTGCCCTGCGCATCCCCCCGGGGCACAAGACCCACCTCGAGGGCGGCCTCGAGGTCCTGGGGCATCAGAGCCGACATGGGCGCAGGTGATAGAGGGACAGAGCAAGGTAGTGGCACAGGACAGAGAGAAGGCAAGGCAGGGATGATGTCTGGAGCTGCAGGCACACACACAGCCGGTTGTGCTGGGCCGGTGCAGAGCTGGTGGACAAGGTACCAGCACAAAACAGAGCCAGGGTCTTGGGAAGAGGGGTTGTCCCCAGACGGAGGAACAGCACCTGCCTAGCCACAGAGCTCAATTCCTGCCCGGGAGAGCAAACCCTGGAGTGCATTCCAGCTGCCCACAACGTGGTCCCACACGTCCTCCGTGGGACAGGGCTGCCACGGGCCCACACACAGCCCACGCTGCCAGCACAGATCCTGCCGGGCCGGCGGCGCGGCTTGTGCCACCGCCACCACCCCCGGTGCCACTACCCCCACGCCGTCACCTCGGGCTCATTTGTTTCCTACCTCCTCTCCAGGGACAACTTTCCGAAGAGTTTCACCACTTCCCCTCCCGTCCCCTCTCCCACACCGGAGCCTGCCCCGAGCTGACACAGTTTACCGGGTTCGGGGGAACGGCGAACGGGACACCGCGAGGTGCCAAGCGGGACGAGGACACAGCCAGTCAGAAGCCCGTAACCGAAGCCAGACAACCAGCCTCAGCAGAAGCCCCCGACTCCCGCCCGGCCGGGATCGCGGGGGACCCCGAGAAGGGGCTCCGGCCGGGCAGGCTCGGACAGCCGCCACGGGCAGCAGCGCTCCGGCTCCGTCCCCGCTGCCCCCGGTCCCCGCGGGGCTCCCCCAGCAGCGGGGGCTCCTCCCACCGCCCTGCGGCTGCACCGGGCCTGGCTGCGCTTTGCGGCCGCTTCCCCGGGCCCCGATGCCCCGGCAGCCGCCACCCCCGGCCGCGCCGGCCATCCGCCCGCTCCGCGCACCGGGCCCGGCCCCGCCGCACCGGGCCGCGCTCGCTCCTCCGCCCGCCGCAGCGGGCCCCGCAGCCCCGCATCCGCCCCATCGCTCCGCGCCCTGCCCGCCGCCCTCCCCGTCCCGCCGCCCCGAGGCTGCCCTCCCCCTTCCCTCCGCCTCCCGCCAGCCCCGGGCCCTGCCCGCCGCCTCCCCCCGGTGCCCCGGCCCTGCCCCGCACGGCCCGGGCCTGCGGCCGCCGCCTCACCCCGTACCTTCGGGAGGCGCGCCCGCGGCGCTCGGTGCCGTGCCCCGGCGCTGCCCGCCCCTCAGCCCGCTCGCATGGCGCGGCGGCCGGGCCCGCCGGGCTCCGTGTCGGTGCCGGTGCCGGTGCCGCTCCCGCTCCGGTCTCAGCCCCGCCTCATGGCGCCCCCGCGCCCGCCGCGCCGATGGAACCGGCCGCGCCGCGCTGCCCCCCTCCCCGCGCGGCACCGCCTCCCCCCCCGCGCCCGCCGATGGGCGCGCCCGCCGCCTCCTGCCGTAATGAGCCCAAGAGCGGCGCCGCTGAAATGCGCGGCGGAGCTCCTCGGCCGTAATGCTCCGAGTGGCAGCGCACCGAACGCCGCCGGGACGGGGCTGGGAACGATCACGGGAATTAGGGAATCGCGGAATCAGCTAGGTTGGAAAAGATCTCTGAGGTCATGCAGCCCAAACTATGACCCAACTAGACTAGACACTCAGTGCCATGTCAACTAGACCATGGCACTGAGTGCCACATCCAGTCTTTCCTTAAACATCTCCAGGGATAGTGACTCCACAACATCCCTGGGCAGCCCATTCCAATGTCTGGCAAACTTTTCCGTGAAGAAATTCTTCCTGATGTCCAACCTAAACCTTCACTGGTTGCCAGGGGGAAGAGGTCGCCTCCCACCAGGCTACAACCTCCTTTCAGGACGTTGTGGATGTCTCAGGACAGCCCTGGGAGGTGTGGAAGTGCCCCAGGACAGCGAGGAGAAGTTTGCAGAACAGTGTCTAGCACCAGCCCCAGGAGTCTCTGGGGAGGCACCCCAAGATAGCCCTGAGAGACTCTGGGGGTAACCCCAGGCAGCTCACTGGGTGTCTGTGAGGATGTCCTGGAGCAGCCTTTGCAGGAGCTGGGGTGGTCCTGGAACAGCTCAGGAGAGGTTTGCTAAGGGGTGGTCACAGCCTGTGCCCTGTAGCCCCTTCTCTGGGGGTTGTCTGGGTGTAGGGTGAGATGAAAACCTCAGAGCAGGCTGAGTGTCTGGGAAGACTCCAGAGTTTTTCCAGTACCCAGGCCCTGTGTGTTCCCCAGGGAATAAGGCCACGGATGCGGGGGTCCAACAGGCTGGCCGTGCCCCCCCCCCCCCACCACCACAACCTCCCAGTCCTTTTCTGCCTGAGCAGAGCTGGACAATCCACCCTTGTCCCTAGTGGGTCTGAAGTAGGTCAGGGAGGCTGGGCCAAGCTCCTGGGGAGGGGAGTGGGTGGCAGGGGGTGCAGAGGGCCCCAGGCACCCACCCCAGTGGCCACACCACAAGGTTGGTGCCCACCCCCCTGTCTTGGTAGGACCCCAGTGTCCCCAGCCCAGGGGATGCAGGGCATTTCCCTAACCCCCCCTTTGGTCTCCTGGGGGGGTTTGGGATCCCTCTGCACCCCTGCAGGCTCCACATCCCTTCTGGGAAGCTGGGATTCCATGGATGCAGGCTGGGGTGGCTGAATCCTGAGGGGCAGCACCCAGTATGGACACCTGGGGACTTGGTTTTGGGGAGTGAGCCTGGAGCTGAGCTGGGTGGGAGCTGTGGGATGAGAAGAGGGAATATGGAAGACGGGAGAGGGATTTCTCACCCCTTAATTGCAGTTAATGATTGATGAACGTGTTTACTGCAGGAGGCAAAGGTCTGGCAGTGTCAAGACGAGAGTGCAGAGGCAGCATCCCCAGGGACACAGGCACAGGTAAGGGATGTCAGCCCCTATCCCAGTCCCACGGGCACTTTGCTGCATGGAGGGGAGGTGGGGGTGTCTGCCAGCCCTGGAGCTGCCCACAGACCTCGGCACAAGGAGGGAGACACTGCAGTCCTACCATGGGCTACTCCAAGCACTGCTTGGAGAGACCCTGTTGGGCACAAGCAGTGGAGCCTCCAGCCATGCCCAGAACAGGCTCTTGGGGTCCCCCAGGCACACCTAAAGTCTCCTCTACCTGGAGGCCAACCCTGTCCTCGCATGCCATGTCCTCAGGGAGCCCACGCCCAGGAGTGCAGTGTGGAGCCTGGTGTTTGCTCACCAGCCTGGCTCAGCAGAGGGGACTGTCCCCACCAGCACCTCTCCTGCCCTGCTGGCTGCTCCCCAGGAGGGGTTTGGGGGGCAGGCCTCAGTCTCTCAAGTGCTTGTTCCCTGGTGTGTGCCCACAGGCATCCTGGCAGGATGGCATGGCGCTCTTTGGTGCTGCTCCCCTTCCTCCTGGCAGCAGGTAAGGACTCCTCTTGGTGATCTGGCATGGGTGAGTGGAAGGTGTTGGAGTTGCTTTCAACTCCCAATACTCTTTCTCCATTCCCTGGGGGAAGCTGCAACCCCAAAACAGCTGCCTGCCCCACTGGGGATGCAGGGCAGGGCAGGGCTGGACAGTAGGGAAAGCATGGGGGCTGCAGCTGGAAGAGAAGTATGGTCTGGAGGTGTGGGATGAGCACAGGGGTGAGGCTGGGGGTTCCCCTGCCTGCATAGAGACCCCAGCCACGGCTGGGAGCTGGGACTGGAGCTGAGGAGGTGCTGCCAGACGTGGCTGTGCCAGCAGAGCCCGGCACAGTGATGGTGCTCAGCTCCTCTCCCCTGTAGTTTTAGGAAACACAGTCCCCATCATCAACGTGACCATCTTCCACGTGCCTGAGGACCTGGAGCTGGGTGAGTAGGGCGGTCTCAAGAAGGGCCTGGGGTGTCAGAGGGGTGACTGGGGGGTTTTTGGGCAGGGGCTGACACTGCCTGGGCCCCCAGGCCAGTTTGCTTTCCAGCTGCAGGCTTATGACCTTGACAACGACCCTCTCACCTACCAAATCCAAGGGATAGATGCCTTCTACTTCTCTGTTGACTTCAAAACAGGCAGAGTGACACTGAGGAGCTCCCTGGACCGTGAGGTGAGGACAGAAGATGGGATCAGATGTCCCTGCCTGAGAGAGAGTCTGGGGGTTTGGGGATGGAAGGCAGAGCCTGTGGGTCACTCCCTGGAGGGGAAATTGTCCTCACAGAGGTTGGGGCTCAGACATCCAAGGATTGAGCTTCACTTTGGCCCTGACCAAGTCCTGCCTTGTGTCCCCTCAGCTCCAGGCCAAGCTCACCATCACTGTCGGAGTGTCAGATGGTGTAAATAACGAGGTGAGTGCTTGGCCAAGGGCTGGGTGGCTGCAGGGGGAAGAGAGCCCCCATGGCCAAGGCTCAGTGGGAAGGCAATTGGAAATGGGTGGGTGATGCTGGCTGGCTAGCCAGGGTGGGCATGGGATGCCAGAAATGCATCCAGCTCTGCTGGCCACCATCTCCCACACACCCATCCTTGTGCCCTCTCTGACACCTGGTAGGTCTCCAAAAAAATCACCGTCATCGTGGATGACCGCAATGACAACGCCCCGGTCTTCCAGTACCTGCCATATAATGCCATCGTCGCTGAGGTACCTTTCTGGGACCTCCCAGTCCCCACGGGCAGCAGGGCAGGGGTGCTGGGTGGCTCCTGTGGCATGGGTGTGCCAGCAGGGGGACAACAACAGGCTGGGAACAGTGTGGCCCCACAGCTGGGTGTGTGGTGACAGCGTGCCTGGGCGTGGGGTGCAGCCAGCACCTGGGAGCACTCTATCACCAGGGCAATTCCCGATGGGAGCCTCTGTGTCACCCTGAGACGCTGGAATGTGACTGGGACTCTGCCCTTGCAATGAGTTCAGGGTGTGCCCGAGCTACCTGTCAGCCCAGGACAGTGTGACACTGAATCAAGGTGTAGATGGGGCGTGGGGCTCAGTCCGACCCCCATCCAGCAACCCCAGGGCTGAGGTGCAGCCTCTGCTCCCAAGGGACCCCAGGGAGGGTAGCGAGGGGGTCCAGCCTCTGCCCAGCCTGAGCAAGGGCAGCAGCTTGTCCCTGTGTGTGCCCCACGACACTGGGCAGTGCTGCAGGGCCAGAACCTGCCAGGGCAGGGCTGGCAGGGTCCAGGCCCAGCATCACCCCCCTGCTCTTCCACCACCACCCCCTGTGTGGCCAGAACACGAGCGTGCACAGCATCATCTACACCGTGTTTGCCAACGACAGCGACACCGGGAACGCCTCCAAAGTCAGCTACCGCATCGAGGAGGTGAGCTCAGAGCACTGTGGAGTGGGTCACCACACCCAAACCCCACCCCTGGGCCACCCCTGTGGTGCTGAGGGGCTAGGGGACACGGCCAGGGCAGACCCATATCTCTGGGGGGGCAGGGAGGTTTTGGGCAATGGGTGCAAGGTGCTGAACAGTTTCAGGCTGGGGATGAACCAGGTGGCTGGGGGTCCCCACGGATCAAGCCTGGCAGAAGGAGGGGGATAGAGCCCCTGTCTCTGCTGGGACAGCTCTGCTCCCTGCCTTGGTGACACAGGCTGATGTCCCCTGCTCAGGTGATCCCAGACAACGTGAACAATCACCAGCTCTTCTACATCCTGACCAATGGCAGTGTGGTGCTCAATGGCTCCCTGGACTATGCCAAGAACACTTTCTACCAGATCAAGATCCTCGCCCAGGTGGGCACCATCCAGGCTGGGGGTGCAGGGAAAGGGGCTGGGTGACTGACAGGTGCTCTGCTCCTCAGGATGGCGGGGGATGGCTGCACAACAATTGGACCATCCAGAAGAGCTTTACTTACCTGTCCCTGACCATTAAGGACGTGCCCAACCTGGACCCACGGTTCCTCAATGAGCCCTACTCAGGCTCTGTGCCTGAGAACTGCGACCTGGTCAGGAGCCTGCCTGCCCCAGCATCATGTCCCTGCCCCTGTCCCTGCCCCTGAAGTGTCTGGGCCACCAGGCCTGTGGGCAGCTGGAGATGTCGTAGGTCCTTCCCTGATGGCCATGTCCCCACAGGGCACCACTGTGCTGACTGTCACCGCCATGGACCAAGACACAGGGGTGAATGATAAAATCTCCTACATCATCACCAGTGAGTGATGGGGCAGAGTGGGTCAGGCAGGAGATGACACAGTGGGATGAGCAGGAGGGGTGGTCAGGCAGCCAGGGGTACCCTGGAAACTGGTTCTGGGCACCAGGCTCTGCCAGTCTGACATGATGGCAGAGAGAGGGCCAGGCCTGCCTTTCCCAGTGACTACACTGGTTCCTGCTGTCCCC